TTGTTTGTCATTTCTCCGATCACAAATGCAGACATGGTTTTATGTTTACGCGGCGCGATGCAACGCATAAAAAGACAGTATAAGTCATTATAATCAGTAATTATGTCCCCACTGGATGCAACAAATTCCTCGTTTGTAATGGGTTTTAATGTGTTTGTGTCGTCGCTCCGGCCGGACACGGCATCAACAGTATGTGAGGGGCGTAACATTTCCGTCTCACGCTTGAGGTATTCGGCCAATCACAATGCACTGGATAGCTGGCCAATCAGGGCACACCTCGCTTTTCAGACCGATGAGCTTTGTAAAAATCGATTCGTTTCAAAAAGGCGGGGCATAGAGGAGAAACAATAATGTACAGTATGTGGAAAATAATGTGTTTTTTGAACTTTAAACCGCATAAACACATTTCATTACACCAAATACACAAAATAATGTTCTTTTTAGCAGCATCATATGACCCCTTTAATGTTGTTTTTACCAAAAAAACAGAGACTCTGATGTTAATGTGTCTGCATTCAAACATTTCAGTGGGCTTAAACAGATCACCCTTTACAGCAGATTTAGTTCACAAACAACTGACAGCGTTGACCTAAATATGATTTTCAGTTACAATAATTAATCCTAAAATTTGACATTAGTAACTTACTTTTAACAGCATCAGACGTGCGCGCTCACAAGATCTCCCGGTTGTTACTTGTGAATTCAGTTCACTGGAGACTCGCACTAAACGGTTCATTTGAATCAGTGAGTTGTCGACTCGAGAACAGCTGCAATCGGATCATTTCAATTCGTGAATGAATCGTTTGGTGCGATTTGCGAACTGATTTAATGGGTTAATTGAAAAGAATCAGTTCGTTCATGAATCAGACACCGTTTCTGCGTCTCGGAGCACGTGATATATTATAAGGAGTAACGATAAGTTTTATGAAATGTAGTGAAGTAAAAAGTACGATCTTATGCTTTGGAATGTAGTGAAGTAAAAGTAAAAGTTACTCAAAATAAAACTACTCCAGTAAAGTACAGATACTTGAAAAATCTACTTAAGTACAGTAACGAAGTAAAGCTACTTCGTTACTGTCCACCACTGCCCTCCATAGACAGCAACGCAACCACCATGTCCCAGAAAGGTGGTAAGCACATTGTTAAAATAGTCAATGTGACATCAGTATAGCCGGGTTTCCATTCCACCAGTTGCGAATTTAACTTATGCGCAAAATTGGAATATCGCATAAAACATTTGCAAATAAGCACCGTTTTCATCCAACGAGTCAAAGACAACAAAATCGTCACTTCCTGATAAACTGGCACTATATATCACTAAGAAAAGTATTAGAAGCCACTGAATATAATAATTTTCATATATAATAAATAACTTGCGCCTCAGAGCGAGCAGATGAAACAGTAAATGCGGTCATTGCTTTCAGAGGCGGATGCTGTCGTGTAAGACAATTATGCAGAAATACTTTGATGACAGACTTTGCTCCATAACATTTCAGATGCTATGGAACGAGATCGGTCCGCTGGTTAATCAGGATTTGCCGTCCCACAGCACAAAGTCACATGACTTTTTTGATGTGCAGGGAGAACTTTATTTGGCAAATGTGTTTCCATCTAACATTATTCGCATTAAAGGGATAGTTCACCCAAAAATGAACATTTTATGTTTATCTGCTTACCCCCAGGGCATCCAAGATGTAGGTGACTTTGTTTCTTCAGTAGAACACAAACGAAGATTTTTAACTCAAACCGTTGCAGTCTGTCAGTCTTATAATGGAAGTGAATGGGAATCACGGCTTTGAGAGTAAAAAAAACATACACAAACAAAACCAAATTAAACCCTGCGGCTCGTGACGATACATTGATGTGTAAAGACATGAAACGATCGGTCTGTGCAAGAAACTATTTATATAGTTTTTTACCTCTGATGCACTGCAATGTCTGAACTGTCCTGAGCGCATCCTCGACAGCCGGCGGGTGACGTGTCGTCTTCTTCTTCTTCTTCTTGCTTTACGGCGGATTGCAGATTTATAAGTGCATTACCGCCACCTATCTCTCAAATGGACCATTGACACTCCTAATTGAGATTGTAGAAAAAGTGTCAATGGTCCATTTGAGAGATAGCGTGATTCCCATTCACTTCCATTATAAGACTGACAGACTGCAACGGTTAGCAAAAAGTTAAAAATCTTCGTTTGTGTTTTACTGAAGAAACAGAGTCACCTACATCTTGGATGCCCTGGGGGTAAGCAGATAAACATACAATTTTCATTTTTGGGTGAACTATCCCTTTAACCCTTTTTTCACACAAGTCAAAAACCACCTCAAGTGAGCAAAAAATAATTTTTGCGAATTAAGGCATGTTTATTAAAAATTCAGCATTCCATCGAGCGTTTCCATCACTCGTTTCTGATACAATACTTCAAAATGTGCATAAAAGCTGAGTGATGGAAACATAGCTTCTGATGTCATCAGAAGAAACTTTTTCTTTCTTTGTGCACAAAAAGTATTCTCGAATAGCTTCGTAAAATCAGAAGATCAGAAGATCAGATCAGATCAGAATTAGCTTTATTCGCCAGGTGTGCGCAAACACACTAGGAATTTGGTGTTTTTTTTTTTTTTTTTTACCAGTGCTCCTGGTACATACACACATACAAACATACATACAGACACATCTGACATGAGAACAGAAAAAAACATTTAAATAGTAAGACTTAACAAAAAATAATGTGTATACAAAAAATAATGTGTATGAATCTGGAACAGTAGATTTATGTACAGATTTGTGCATTTGTACTCTATATAGAACTGTATAAATAAGAGATATCCATATGTATTTACATAATACTTGAGAAAAAGGCAATAATTAAAGATGTAGAATGAATTATGGAAATGAATTACAGAACACAGGTAATGATTCATGTGTTAGCTGTTTAAGCTGGAGATGGCATTGGGGAAAAAACTGTTTTTATGCCTAGATGTTCTAGAGCGCAGAGATCTATAGCATCTGCCTGAAGGGAGAAGTGCAAACAGGTTGTGTCCGGGGTGAGAAGGGTCTTTGATGATGTTACCTGCCCGTTTCTTCACTCTGGAGTTGTACAAGTCCTGAAGACTGGGCAGGTGCACACCAATGATCCTTTCTGCTGTCCTAACAGTCCGTTGCAGTCTTCTTAAATCTGATTTGCTGGCTGACCCAAACCAGACAGTTATAGAAGAGCACAGAACCGACTCAATAATAGCTGAGTAAAACTGTGTCATCTGTGCCTGTGGCAGGTTGAACTTTTTTTCAACTCAGGTTGAAAATTACATTTGAACCACTGATCACATGGACCGTTTTAACAATGTCTTTACTACCTTTCCGGGCCTTGAACGTGTTCTGTTGATGTCTATGGAGGGTCAGAAAGCTCTCGGATTTCATCAAAAATATCTTAATTAATTTGTGTTCCGAAGATGAAGGTCTTACGGGTTTGGAACGACATAACGGTGAGTAATTAATGACAGAACAATTTTTGGTGAACTATCCCTTTAAGGCAAGACACCCCAGGTGAATAGGTTATGTATAATAATTGTAAATTAAAATTTGTGTGTATGTGGTTCATATCACCATACTATATATATATACAGTGGGTACGGAAAGTATTCAGACCCCCTTAAATTTTTCACTTTGAGTTTTATTTCACAATTCTGACACTTTTTTCCTTGCCATTCTGACTTTCTTTTTTTTTTGTTGTTATTTTGACTCAGAAGTCTGAGTTTATATCTCAATTCAGAAATGTCTCGCAATTCTGAGAAAAATTATAAGAATTCTCAGAATTCTGACTTTTGTGCAATTCTGACGTTTTCTCAGAATTCCGACTTTACATCTCACAAATCTGTTTTTTTTTTCTCTACTGAATAAAAAAATTTAAAAGCTAATTGTGACTTTTTATCTTTGAATTCTGACTTTTGCTCTCAATTGCAAGGAAAAAGTCTGAATTGTGAGTTATAAATTTAGAATTGCGAGAAAAAAGTATGAATTTCAATTGCCTTTTTACGTTTTTTTATCCTGTGGCAGCAAACAAGCCTTCATAGAAAATACTCAACAGATAGAAAAAAAAAAAAATTCTCATGTTTTTAGGAATAAAATGTATAAAATTAGGCAGATGATATATGAACATACCCCTCAGTAAAACTGTATGTAAGTGCTGCTGAACTGAAGATTTCTCAGAAAAAAAAGAAACTGAGAAACGACCTTGAAAGGTATTGTAATTGAAAGCTAAAAATGTAAATAGATAATTGGCTATTTTTTTTTGCTGAGCTAGTCGCAAGGCTTTTTGACATTGTCTGCTTACAAAAGGTGATGTACATCCAAGCCAAAATAAGGCTTATAAATAGGGGTGCTCCGATCAGGATTTTTGAGGCCGATCACAGAAAGCAATATCTGCCGATACGATCACCAATACCGATCTTTTTAAAGCCTTCTTTTTATCATGTAGAATTATTTATAGTGATAATCCAATCAGGATTTTTAGACATTTATTCAGGGCCTGAATTTCATTTTTGAAAATGGGGGAATTCCTCTCTTAGGTGACTCTTGTGAGGGGTGGAGGGGGGCATTTTTTTGACATTTTGCAAAAATTTATATATTTATCTCACCTAAATGTTTGATCATGCAGTGCATTTTTGTTTTTAAGCCTGATTTCCACAAACACAACATTTATCCATTATTTTGATTTCAAATCTAAACATTGTTACTGAAAATGCTTTTTCAGTATTGTGATTCTTTTTTTACACAATAGAGTAATACAGTCTTTCATAGACGTGTTTAAACGCAAATAAATATAAGCAACACATAATTCAATGCTTTTTACTTTTGCATTTACTTCTAGATTTATATATTAAGTTGCTCTAGCAAGTGGCAAAACATTCTAACTACTTTTGTTACCTTATCACAAACATTCTGAATTTAAAACTTACCACTGGCAGAAACAGTCAGCTCTACTGACTTTTCTTTTGCATTTAAATCTTTATTACAAGCAATCTTTCGGTTAATAAAAACTTTGTTTTACTACCTCCACGAGTGCCATCTCATTGCCTTGTTTATCTAAAAGTTCTCTTTTCATTTAAACCTATAGCCAAAAAGCCATAAGTGTGGACTGTGAAACACAGTAGACTTAAATGCATTTATGGAGTAATTACTAAATTTTTGTGTCAATCCATATTATTATTTACCACAAATAATGCGCTGTCACTTTAATTCAGCGCAGCAGAAACTATCTCCGCACTGCTGCAGATGCACCGCTCCTGAACTCACTGCCGGACGCAACAGTGTGCAGTGTGAACGCTTTAGTCTGTTAACATGAGCGCGGAAAAAATACGCAATGCAAATGGAGTATGTGGACTTGGCGTTATGTGTGTGCGCTGCGAGGGTGCATGAGCGCATGGTCTCCAAGAGAGCACGCGAGTGCTGAATGATTAAACACGGGCAAGAATTAAAAAGAAATGCAGTTTATAAACTTTAGTGACGACGTGACACTGCCTCGATTGTGCAAGTGACAATTGCTGTCAATTGTTCAGCTCGCATATAGTCAGACGCGATGTGATTTGAAGCCATTTGCGCATTTTGAGAACGAAAGAGAGAGAGAGCGCGCGGTGATTCACTCATGCTGTTTGTAATTTAAATAAATTGAATTGTAATTGAAATAAGTTATTTAATGAAGAAATATCAATTGTACCTCACCTTCAGCATTATAATTATTTTACCGGCAGCAAACAGAGACTGAGTGCCGCTGCATGTCATGCCAAACCTCTCACAGCAGGCGCGTCGTCAGCTTCAGATCAGTTTATGAGATCGGCCTTTTTAGAGACCGCCGATCAATCATCCCAAAGCGATTATCGGCCGATAGTGATCGGTTATTATCGGAGCACCCCTACTTATAAATCAGCTTTATTTTGCTTCCCACTGTTTCCACTCGGTCTGATGTGTTGACATCTTTAACAAAGCACCTACACCCTTAAAAATAAAAGTTCTATATCATCACTCCAAAAAAGCTTTATTATAGAGAGTGTAGCATATACTGTATCTGCTCCTGGTGAATGTCTCATCCATGTGAGGTGTTGAACGAGGTGGCCCTCTGCTGATCATTCCAGACTTCTTCTGCAGTTTCCGTGACAACGATTTGGGATTCACACGGTTTCCAAGAAGCTGCCCACAGCTATATGTTCTGATGAATGTGAGCTATGCTCTGAGCGACACGGGGGCTCTATACCACCATATGCTTTCCAGAACGACAGGCCTTGAGAAATATGAAATATTGAATAAAATTGATCTCATGAGACCGACGTTAATTAGCTGACAAGGCGTGCTATTTGGGGGGTAACGTTCAGTGAAGTATAGATTCATTCTTCATAGCAGAATGACATAGTGACCTGTTTTAAAGTGTCTTTTCCTCAGTGTGCTTCCTGCTTAGTTTGCACTGTGTAGACTTTCAGGATGACTACTTAGCTCTGTTCCAAACCCCTTGCTGTCTGCTGTCTGAACACTGCAAACATCATTTTTTAATTAGTTAGTCATATTTTTTCTCTAAAGATATCTAGAAATCCTTGAGACAAGATGAAAAACTACAAAATTTCACATTTTAGTGAGACAATGGGGGAAAAAGATAAACTTCTTTGTACAATACCAGTTAAAAGTTTTAAAATAATTGACCATTTAAAATAACTGCATAGAATTATTTCTAAAGGGTCAGGTGACACTTAAGAACTTAAGTGTCTTAAGTGACACTTGCCATCAATGCCAGCAATTTTATTTCTTAAAAATGATCAAATTTACCAAAATTACAAAAATAAATTTAAAAACTAACATTATATATATATATAT